GATCTTTCCCCTGAAGTCAGTCTTTCCTTCAAAATCCACCCACCAGCCTGGAACCGAATACTGTGGACCGCTAGATGGCGCTGTTCACCACGCATCGTTGGAGTCTAGCCGTCGCCCTGCCGTCCTAAGACCTCGCAAATCACCTTTTTCCTAGAGACAAGTATTCCAGGGAATGGTTACCACTCCCTAGGCCGTCTCTCTAGACCAGGAAGAAACCCAGAGTCCTACAGCATCATTTATCAACTAGCCACTCCCACCCACAGGTTAACATTTTGCTTGAGAGCAAAAGATGTTTTTAGTGCAGTCGACCCTGGGTACCCACAGGGATTGGTTCCAGGACCCCTGCCCCATATCAAAATCAAATCCCTTACGTAAAACGGCATAGTATTTGCACATAACCTAGGCACACCCTCCTAAATACTTCAAATCATCTCTACCTTGCTTACAATACCTAATACAATGTAAGTGCTGTGTAAATAGTTACTGACGTGGCAAATTCTAATTTCGCCTTTTGGAACCGGAATTTATTTCCTTATTTATTTAAATTTGGGGGGATATTTTCGATCAAAGTTTGGTTGAATTCATGCGTGCGGAATCCACTGATACAGAGGGCCAACTCTACTTGGAGTACCCTGGCAAACGTTAAGCAAAGCTTTGGACCTTTTTGGAAAGTTGCAGGACTCCATGCCTCCCCTTTGAGCTTGACCAATGGCCTTCTTGGCACAGTCCTTTTCCTCTCTGCCCTGCCTCTCTAGCCAATGAGGTAGAGCTTCAGATTCCAGCTCTGTTTCCAACCTTGAGCTACAGAAATGCAAGAGGCAGCATGAAATGGTGACCCGAGAATCTAGTGGAGGGAACTGAGTGAAGACAGCATCTCCTGGGACCCTGAGAAACTTATCCAACGTCTCTCAAGATGGGTTTACGCGGCTGCATGATGGGGATAAAATGTCCTGGACAGAACAGAGGTAGTGAGCATTAAATGAAGCTGTATGAGGCTTCAAGCCAAGTTTTCCATAAAGCTTTGTTTTCCATTTCCAGATACTCTAACACTTAAGCCAGGGTGATTGGCTGATCTGATGAACCCATGTCTGTAATCTCAGCTGGTCTTCAGACGTCCCAGGGAACAGAAACTCAATGGTTGAACCTCCCCACATTGTGTTGAATAATAGACCATTTGCTCAAGGTACGTCTGCAAATGCAGGCATAGAAAACTACTGTCTTTGTAAATGTCAGTTGACCAGCAACTATCTATGGAGAACTTATGATTTGCTTTGGTGTTTTAGGAAGATTATTCTGGAAGCCAAAATATGACAGATCGGGGAGGGGGTGAAGACAAAGACACCAGTTCTTCAGTGAAATATCATTGTTTCTTACCCTTGAGAGGAAATACGTAAGTCAAGGAATATTAGAAAGGCTGTTAGTTTTTGCTCCCTGCCCTCCCTTTTTTCAAGCAAAAAACCCAGAAATAACGGTTCCGTTTGGGGAACAAAGGCACATCCCAGGGGCTGTTCACTCACTGCAGCCGTGCTCTCCCACACAGATGGTGCCCACGGTGAGTAACAAGAAAGCCCAGTTGTGCCTTTGCTCAGCCAGGCCCTTGGCTGGGGACTTCCTGATTGCCAATCCCATGGGACCATCTCCTTTCCCAGAAATCCACCCTACAGCCCGTTCCCTCCTCTCCTACTTAGAACTGTGGGGCTAACTTCTTGAGCTCCCTTCACATCATAACCCGTCGCCGTTCCCTCTCTGCAGCCCCAAAGGCTTACCTATTTTCTATTGCCTCTCCCCCTCTCCTCTGTCCTGCAAGGACCACCATACACCCTTCTCCGTTGTGGTTCTTCTCTTCCTCAGCTCACACTCAGAGTGTTGAAACACGTCAACAGGAAGAGAAAGGAGATGATTTCCTGTGACTTGATTTTATAAAAATAGAATGGATTTTATAAAAAGAAGCAGCAGCCAGGAGCAGTATTCACTCACCTAGCAGTTACTCTAATTATAGATGGTTGGGTGTCACAGGCAAGCATATTGAGTGACCGGAAGGTTGCATCAGAAAGGATTTCTCATTTCCAACTTCCCCTGTGTATGCCCTGTGTATGCCCTGGTCAGCATCTTTAAATTACAACCTGATTGTTACACAAATAGGAAGTCTTCCCATTAGCTGAATTGTGGCCTGCAATTTTATCTTACAAAGGATGTTTGATTCCCAGACCCTGGCTTGATTCTCCCAAGATTTTGCTGACTTAGTGTTTCCCTAGAAAGAATGGACATTTTGCCTGGGAAAAGATGGACACGTAGGAATTCCAATTGGGAAAAAGAGAAAGAGTCAAAATCCTGTTCCCATTTCAGTAAACTGTGCGTTCTCTGCCCCTCCCCCAATATTCCTTTGCTTCTGATATTCAGCCTTGAAATCTCTGTTCCAAGAATGTGGAAGGATTGATGCCATAAGCCTGATATTCAAATCAGGAGTTTCCACTCCTATAGAACCTAGATACGAGCTAGGACTTAAAAAAAGAAAAACCAGCCTGGCATTAAATGAATTCAGCACCTCTGAATTTATTTATAACCTTTTCCTTGGCCTTTTATCCAAACAGATTTCTGGGATTTTTTTTTTTTTTTTTTTGGGGGGGAACCTCTCAAAGTGGCTCCTTCTGCCTCTAACAGAAGTCATAAACTGGCCCTCCACAAACCACATCCAGCCAGCTGATGTATTTAGTTTGGCTCACATAGTGTTTTTTTAAAAAGAAGAATTAGTTGTCAGCGTTTAACATGTGTACGTAAAAATATAGGCTTCTATGAAATAAATATTTCTATAAATACACATTTACATAAAATACAGATTTCTGTATTGTCTTGGGAAAAATAAAACCAGATGAGGCAGCCCTGGGATGTTATTTCCACATGGGTCCTTGGGGGATGTGAACCATTGACCCAGTAGGAAATATACAAGGGAGATCGTTCATAGGAAAAAGTGGGGCTGGGAAGTGACCTGTTTTCCTCCAGATCTACATCTCTAGGTCTGAACCTTAACTCCAACGAGCATTCAGCTCTACCACCCCAATGTGTCTGAAACTAAATGCAGCTTCCTAAGTACCTGCCAGACATCTGGTTTCTGAAAGCAGCACAATGCACCTTCTGACCACGGAATCAGCTTTAAGTCTTCCGGTCTTCTTCCCTGCCACCCCTCCTTCCCCATCAGCCGCCGTGCCCTGAGGCTTATGCTCTCAGAAGTCCACTGGGCAATAAGATAGCTACCAACCACGTGAGCACCTAAAATGTGGCTAGCGCGAACTGAGATATACCGTAAGTGAAAAAGACACACGGGATTTTAAATATTTATGCTAAAAAATAATGATAATCCAAACTGGCTGATGAATAATTTTACGTGGATTACCGACTAAAATGATATTTTTGACGTACTGGGTTATGTTAAATAGTATTTAAATAGTTAAATATTATTAAAATTAACTTGCCCGTTTCTCTTTACCCTTTTTAACATGGGGCCTAGAAAATTTTAAATGACACGTCTTGAAAAGTTTTAATCACATTTGTGGCTCACATTATCCTTCTAGTGGACAGCGCCCTTCAAAACATCTCTTCGCATGACGTGATGAGGTGCTAATTATCGCTACAATGGCAGTCATGTTACAACACATAAATGTATGAAATCAACACGCTGTACACCTTAAATTGACACCAAGTTATATGTCAAATACATTTCAAGAGAAAAGAATCTCTCTTGGGTTTGTCCTAACCTTTCCGACCTTGCTGCCAACCTATAGCCTAGTTTCTCACATGCTTTTTGCTCCTAAAATTTCACATTAGTCTAGGCTTTTCTCCCTTCTAATCTGCTCTACACACCCTGGCCGAGTTTATCTGCCTAAAACACTACTTTTATCACGAAACTCTCCTGCTCAAAAACTAACACCAGCTCCCATCTCTACCCCATAAAGTCCAAATTCTTGGTAATAACAGCTTCCACTTTAAAAACCTATTGCGCACATTATGTAATTCTCCCAACAACCTAACACCTAGAATGTCAGACTTTTTGCTTTCTAAATAGAACAAAAAGGACTGCAGCATTTGCCTGAGCTGGGAGGGGAGAGGGAAAGCACCTCTGAGCTGAGACGTTACAAGGATAACACAGTTAAAGCATCCAGGCGGCGGCTCCTTCCCTTACGATGATTTTTACAACACCTCACAATCAACTAAAGAGCAATCAACATCTGTAGATGTGTTAGCTGAACTATTTTTACATCAGTTGAGAGGAAGAATAATAGCACTGAAAAAAGAAACTGTTATATTTGCATTTCAGAAAACCCAAACCAGAAGTCAACCAGAAAAGCTTAAGAGAAACAGTTCTCTTCACTCACCCACTGTAGGTCCAAGTTTCCTATATACATATATACAGTTTTGTCACAAAATAGAAAATTTGAATTATACCAGTCTGAAATGCATTGGTACAACAACAATAAAATATCATTTCGTCTCAAAATTTGAAAAGCAGGAATTAAAAATTTGTCAGTAATTATATACATCCAAAACTAGCAGAGCTACTGATTCATTAGTTGTGTTGATAATTCTACATGGCAACATGTATTCATCTTGGGAAGAGAGACCGTTTGGATTCACCTCGAATTACATGAGGTTTTTACTGTGCTGTCTTCAAGACTTCATCCTTTTCATAAAATACAACATCCTATACCCATTTTATTTCATTTTTTCAGCTACAGATCAGATAGGTTTTGCCAAAAACTGTCTAGCCGAGTCGTTGGTGCACGGGTTTTGAAATCAGACAAAACCACATTTTACCATTTACTGTGTTACTTTAGGCAGAATTGTCTAGCAGTTCTGTGCTTCAGTTACAGCTTCTTTAAATTGGGCATAATTACGCTTTCCTCCCAAAGTTTTGTAAGAATTCAACGAGATAATACACATTGTTAACACGGTGCTTGACCTGTGGTAAGAGTTCTCAACGGACAATAGATAAGACGACGTCCTACCTATCTGGCCTCAGCATCCTCCTGTTAGAAACAGTCTTCTAAGCAGCTTGAAGACTCTACGAGAGGGTGGGGCTTTGGCGTCCAACGCTCTCTACTAAACTGTAAGTTTAGTAGACGGAGTGTTACCCAGGACACGGGGCTGGGTGGGGTCGGAACGAGCGCGCCCGCCGGTCTGCTTTGCCGCGGCCGCGACGCAGACGCCGGACCGGAGCCCGCAGGCCGGGCCCAGCTGCCTGGCCCTTCCCTCCTCCCGCTCTGCCCGGCCGCCCTGGCAGTGAAAACACCGCCACGTGGCCTGCAGCCTTCGCGTCACGCGCCTTCTCCCAATGGCAAGCCGTGTTTCGGAGTTGGGGGCGGGTCGCCAGCAGGGCGGTACCGCCCACAGCCGTCGCCAATTGGCCAAGGGTGAGCCGGGGCGTGGGCTCACGACCAATGGAGGCCGGCAGTGGGGACCCCACCCTGTCGACGGCTGGGTCCGCGGGACCCGCAGGAGGGGGCGGGGCGGGGCGGAGCTGAGCGAGGAGGGGCGGGGCGACGCGGGGCCCGGGCGGGGCCCGGGCGGGGCCGGGGGCGGGGCCGGGGCGGGGCCGGGGGCTGAGGGGGCGGGCAACCCGGCCCGCGGGGTCGGCGCCAGCGGGCTGCTGAGGTGGCTGTCGCTCGCTCGGAGCTGCGGGTCGAGCCCCCGATGGAGGCCGGGGCCGCGGATGGCCCCTCGGGCGGGGTCGAGGAGGCGCTCAGCTGCTTCTCTTTCAACCAGGACTGCACGTAAGCCGAGGCGCCTGCCCTGCCGGGAGGTGGGGGTGAAAAGTCGCGATCGGGGGTGTCGTCCAGTTGGCAACTTGTGCAGGAGGCGCTGGCCTACGTCCCCAGAGGCCTCGGCGGACGGCCGGTGCTGCCCGGACCGGTGAGGGTCTCCGGGCCGCCCCGTCGGCCTCCCCGGCCTCCAGGAGGGGGCTGAGCACCCCCGTCGCCCGCTGCCGGCCGAGAGCCAGGAGGGCCCGGCCGGGGGGAGAAGGAGGGAGTTAGCCGGGGGATTGGGGCTGAAGGAGGCCAAGGAACGTGGGGGGACGGGGGGGCGGGGTAGTGACCAAAGTGGGGGTCTGGGGAAGGAGGGGCAGAGGCCAAAGCAAAGGAGATGGGAGAGGACGGGGAAGTTGCAAGCGGACCCGAGGCGAGGTAGTTGGGGCCCAGGAAGATGGGAGTACAGGAAAAACTTTCCCATTTGTCCTTGAGCATCTCAACGTGGCATCTGGGCAGGGCCAATGACTCAGAGGCAGCCTATCCCTGCGGCCAGGCCAGCCCCGGTCCCAGTCCCGGCGCAGGGCACCTCGCCCGCCGGATCTGGGCGTCAGGAGCCTCTCCATTGCTCTCACTGTGTCTTCCCGTAGCCCACTGGAGAGGCCGAGCCTCCTCCTGGGAGTCCAGGAGCCCTTTCCCCGCCCAGGCTGCCTTCCGGGAGAAGCGTGAACTCCACTCTGTTGCCTTTTGACTGGATTTTTAACGTTTCACCTTGATGTTCCCATTGGGACTTTGGCCAGAGAGCCGGGAGCTGCTGAACTGCGTTTCAGACAGCTGGAGGGTGTCCCTTAGAAGCAAACTGCTGCTCCCTTACCTCTTCTCATGGGATTGTTAGACACCAGCTCTGGGCACCATATGGAATAATCTCTTTGGAATGTGCACCCAGAGCATTAGGCACTGATGACCTCTTCCCAGTTCCCCATTTCCTGCTGTACCAGTCTCTGTCGTGCTCCTTGTTTGGAGTCGGCTTCAGGTGTGTGTTGGCCGTCTGTGCCTGGGCTATGCTAATATTGAACATTCAGTGGTGTAATTAAGGCCATCGTGTACCATAAGCAACCCTGGCTTCCATTCCCTTTGTGTTTCTGTTTAAAAACACCCTCTGCCAAACGATATACCTTTGTTCGAAAAAGCTGTATGTGTAATCGTGTAATCCAGTAGCTGGACAACTGGGTTAGAAGCGGGACTTTCAAGCTTCCCTTGACCACAGCCCACAATAAGAAATACATGTTACAACATTACCCAATATCCAGATATAGATGTGTGTGTATACACACACACACACACACACACACACATATCATATCACTGAAAAGCAATTCACAACATGCTCTTAATGTGTGCAATACCCTCTGGTATTTTGTGTTTCTTTTTTTTTTAAAGCCATTCGTGACTTACTAAATTATTTTCTCATGGGTTGACAGCCAGAGTTTACAAAAATGATGGTCTAGATTCACTTCTGATGTTTTGTAAGAAACATTTTGCAAGAGAGGATGGCTGTTGAAATGCCTGGGTGTTTGCCTTCCCAGTTGAGAGCAGGTTAACGAGGGGAACTAGGGCTAGTTTGCTTTTTAGTAGGAAATGTTCTCAATTCTGCTTTGTAGCATTGTTATTACATTTTTTTAAAGGGATGTTAATTTTTACTCTAGGTAAGTCCCAGCTTTCTATAGCGGTTGGATAAGAATGTTATTTTCAAAACCGTAGGGTGCTTGGGAAGATAATGTCCTTAGTCCCTACTGTCAGTTCTGTCTTCCTGGCTCTGCTGGGCAGCTCTGTCGCACCTATAAATAAAAGTTTTTGTCACAGGCAGTTGCTTTGAGCCTTAGAGGGTATGGCATTGGATTTTAAAATAAGTCAAGCCCCTTGCCGAATACATTTCGGAGTGTCAGCGTGTCTTTTTCTATAAGTATAGGCCAAATTTAGGGTCCAGGCTTCCCTGGTGGCGCAGTGGTTGAGAGTCTGCCTGCCGATACAGGGGACGCGAGTTCGCGCCCCGGTCCGGGAAGATCCCACATGCCGTGGAGCGTCTGGGCCTGTGAGCCATGGCCGCTGAGCCTGCATGTCCGGAGCCTGTGCTCCGCAACGGGAGAGGCCACAACAGTGAGAAGCCCGCGTACCGGTAAAAAAAAAAAAAAAAATTAGGACCCAGTTTTTCTGGAGAAGGTTAGTTAGAAGACAACTAACCTTTAGCAGTCTTCACTCATCCTTCATGCTTGGCCCTGTGCCAGACAATTTGGGTGTGTTTTTTTCACTTGGTTCGTGGTATGTATTTGTCCCAAATCCCATTTTCATGAGAGGTGATGAGAATTTTTTTTCTTCCTACAGAAAGGCCTTATGAATGAAATAAGGTTTTAGTCTGAATTCCTTGATTCAGAGTGTTTTGTGGTCATTGATCAACCATTTAAAACACAACAGTGATCACACTGCCATTTCCCATATTTAAAATTCTTGTGGAGAAGGGCATATGTTTGAAAGTTATTTCAAGTTGCCAGATCTTTTGGTTAATATTATAAGACTCTAATTACACCATTTTTTCCCTTACTTGCAAGCTTTAGAAACCTTGGTTTGCAACTAACTGCACACATATTTATGTGAAAAAAATTTACGGGAAGAAGGTTTAGAAACAGTGATCACTATGGAGTATGTATATCTTGAAGTTTTAAGATGCGGCTGGCTGGCCTTTCGAGTTTGTTGTCATTAGAAGCCAAGCCCCAGTTCTGAGCGCACTGTTGCCTGATGCAAACGTCTAATCCCCCAGGTTAGCTGCTCAGCAGGTCGGTTGGGGGCGGGGGCGGGTGGGGGGAGTAAAGAAGCAGAAGCAGCCACCTTGCTGATTAAAAGTCAACCGCCATTCCAGGGAAGAACAAATGTTAGGGTAGAAAAAAAACAAAATTCCAGGGAGAATCATATGACCTTCTCTCTTTTAGGCTAGTGAAACAAGAGCCTTGGCCATCCAGGCTTGTAGCAGTAAGCTGCTTATTTTAGTCATGTCTCCCTGTGAAGAGCCGAAGCTCACCTTTTCATATGTTTATTTTGAATGAGGGAGTTGGACTAATTGTTAGGTCTACTAGGACCATTTTAAGGTCCATTTCGGCCCTGACATCCCATTTCCCAGGGGTCAGGGTCTGATGGCTTATTCTGAGGGTGCTCTGGGTAAGATTTTGGTCATCACTGAGGTGTTGAGGGCAAAGCAGGAGAGAGCTGGATAGGAATTCTCAGCTGCCGCACAAAACTGACTCGTTTGCTTTCATCCTGGGGCCAAGGAAACACGGGTGCACACTCTGTATCGGTTGAAGAGTGAAAAATTAAGAAGACAAGATTCTGGACTTCCCTGGCGGTCCAGTGGTTAAAGCTCTGCACTTCCGATGCAGAGGACGTGGGTTTGATCCCTGATCAGGAAACTAAGATCCCACAGGCTGCACTGCGCGGCCAAAAAATTTAAAAAAAAAAAAAGAAGAAGAAAACAAAATTCTTTCAGCCCCTGTTGTCCCAGATAAGGTTTTGATTTTGCTCTGTTGGTAGGGTGCAGTGCTGGCTTTGTGAAGCAGAGTTCTCAACCATGGCTGCCCATGAATGGCTGCCCATGAAAGTACCTGAACTGAAAAAAACAAAAAAAAAGAAAGAAATCCAATTAAATAAAAAGCACAGGGCTGGGGGAGCAGGGTAGACAGTCATCAGTATTTTTCTTAAAGCTTCCCAGGTGAGTTTAATGTGCAGCAGGGATGAGAACAACTGGTATAAAGTATCTGAGATGCTTTCATGGAAAGTGATGGAAGGAAGCATCTATTAAATTTTGCCTGCTAATGACCCACTGTGTCTTCTAAGATCACGTATGTCTTTTTTAAGCAAGAAAGAAAGAAAGGAGGAAGGAAGGAGTGAGGGACGGAAGGAAGAAAGTGAAGGAAGGAGAGAAGGAAGGAAGGAAGGGAGAGAGGGAGGGAGGGAGGAAGGAAGGAAAGAAAAAAAAATAATTTACCTCTTGGTAGCACTGTGATGAATATTGTCAAACATGCCATTTTTCCCATTTCTGCCCAGCTGGGAAAGCATGGTCTCTGGTGGGTCTGACACTTCATTTGACGATAGAGCCCATTCAGGGTCAGGTCTCTCGGCCATTTCTCATGTTTGTATGTAGCTGTCTTTGACTTCCTTTCGACTGGACCTGCCCACCTGACAAGGCATACTTGCTTCTCCGTCTAGAAAGTGATCAAATGTCTTGGCTCCTGAGGCTGTATGTTTATCTGAGGCTAGAGGGACGGAGGGTGTCTCTCTTCAGACACACCTGTGGTTGGAACCCAGTACCTGTTGTCATTCCCAGGCTGTCCTTGCCTTCACAGATCCCTCGCGATTGGAACCAAATCTGGTTATAAGCTGTTTTCTTTGAGCTCCGTGGAGCAGCTGGACCCCGTCCACGGAAGCAGTAAGTGTGTGCGTGTGAGAACCTCAGGGCAGCAAATCCTCCCTCTAGACTCGAAGCTGGGGCGCTGCTCAACTCTCTGCATTTCCCTCCATTAACCCACAAACTTACAGAGTCAGTGTTTTTTCAGATTTAAATATAAATCATTGTTTCCACTTGCTTTAAAAAAAAAACCCCACCATGAAACACTAGTAAGATTTGGCAA